GGACTTTTTAAAAATATGTCCGCAAACCTCTGCAGATTTTTACGGACAATTTTTAAACATTTTCGGACAAGTAAAAAAAATCAGCGAATATTTTGCTGACATTTCAAAACGTCAAATAAATTTTAAATTTAAGAATATTAACTAAACCTTTTTTGTCGTTGGAAATTGGTCTTTTTGTTGGGACATTAAGGCAGTTGAAAATAAAAAATTAAATATTTAACTGAACTAAATTAAAAAAATTAATTAAAATTAAATTTAAAAATAAAAAATTAAAGCATTTTGCGCAAAAGAAGAAAAAATTTTTTTTGGAAGAATCGATAGAAATTAAAAGAAAACACAACAGAGAAAGACAGAAGGAAACGGACTTTCCAAATAGCCTTTTCCCGCCTTTTAATTTTTCCGGAATTATTCGGGGACATTAGAGTCTCATAACGTGTCCCGCTTTTTTGGCCATAACTTTTTTTGTTGTGAACCAATTTTTAAAATTTTTAGATCAATCGAAAGCTCTGAATGTGCTTGTTCTTTTTTGTGTTGGGATTGATCAGATCGGAACATTTACTAAAAAGTTATAACTCGATAAGTGCAGAAAATCGGTATTTTTAGCCTTCTTCCTTCTCTAACTTCTACTAATGAGGTCTAATCAAAAGGCTCCTATACAACTCATCTAATCGTTAACTCATCTATTCGTTAACTCATCTACACGGCCAAAAAGGGTCAACTCATCTAATCGTTAACTCATCTATTCGTTAACTCATCTACACGGCCAAAAAGGGTCAACTCATCCAATCGTTAACTCATCTAATCCTTAACTCATCTACACGGCCAAAAACGCTCAACTCATCCAATCCTTGAAATATCGGCCGGTTGAGTCCCTGACCAGGGACAACTGACCAGGGACTTAACCGGCTAGAGACTCAACTGGCCATGGACTCAACTGGCCATGGACTCAACTGGCCATGGACTCAACTGGCCATGGACTCAACTGGCCATGGACTCAACTGGCCATGGACTTAACCGGCTAGAGACTCAACTGGCCATGGACTCAACTGGCCATGGACTTAACCGGCTAGAGACTCAACTGGCCATGGACTCAACTGGCCATGGACTCAACTGGTCATGGACTCAACTGGCCATGGACTCAAACGGCCGGGACTCAACTGACCAGGGACTTAACCGGCTAGAGACTCAACTGGCCATGGACTCAACTGGCCATGGACTCAACTGGCCATGGACTCAACTGGCCATGGACTCAACTGGTCATGGACTCAACTGGCCATGGACTCAACTGGCCATGGACTCAACTGGCCATGGACTCAACTGGCCATGGACTCAACTGGTCATGGACTCAACTGGCCATGGACTCAACTGGCCATGGACCCTACTTACCAGAGACTCAAACGGCCGGAGACTCAAACGGCCAGAGACTCAGACGGCGAAAGACTCAAACGACTGGTACTCAATAGTCTCGTTCCAAAGGATTGGATGAGTTGAGCGTTTTTGGCCGTGTAGATGAGTTAAGGATTAGATGAGTTGATGATTGGATGAGTTGACCCTTTTTGGCCGTGTAGATGAGTTAACGAATAGATGAGTTAACGATTGGATGAGTTGACCCTTTTTGGCCGTGTAGATGAGTTAAGGAATTTTAGCCGTTTAGATGAGTTGAACGTTTTTGGCCGTGTAGATGAGTTAACGAGTAGATGAGTTAACCGGACACGAATCAAAACAGTCTCGCTAGCAAAAATAATAAGCAAAATCAGAGCTCTCGATTGGTATATAATTTATTTAAATTGGTTCATAACCAAAAAAGATGTCGTCCAAGAGATTCCCTCAGTCCCTGCTTTCTTCAAGTTTCCTGTTTGTTTTAACTTCCTTTTCAGAAAATTTTTTTGAAATTTTCAATTTTATATTAACCTTTAGCACTTTAAAATGCTGGAAATATGAATAATAAAATTATTATTAAATAAATATATTAGTCAGTTTAACGAATTATAAAAAATATTTTTATTTAAATGACGGAATTCTTCTTACTCTCGCCTTAAAAAGCTTTTAATCATTCTTCCAAAAAATTAAAAAAAATAATTTTCACAAAATTTCAATAATTTATCCAATGAAAATTTTTTTAAAAATATTTTTAATTTTTTTGTTATTATTCTGCAACCATTATTTAGCTAATACTGGCGAACGAGTTCCTTTTGGTTAGTTTGGGAATATTGAGTGGGCGTTTAATGGAGAGACTTGTCTAGTTTATTGAGTATGGGGAGAGTGATTTTTATTAGAGCGGGGGCTTTTATCAGGAAGAATTTATAGACTTCTAATCCGAAGAGAACAACAGTGGTAGGGTGTAGGGAACATTTGTGGTAGTGTGAAGGGAACATTAGGTGTGTCTGTAGGGAACATTTATAATACATACTTTCCGGAAGGAATATATTTTCCTTTCCCCTACTTTTTTAAAATAAACTTTCCGGAAACCGTATTTTGTATTTTCTCCTAATATAATCTTTCCGGAAATTAAATAATTATTAAAGAGTTACCGGAATTTCTTTAGGAAAATAAACTTCCGGAAAAATAGTATAGAATGAAACATCAGAGAAAACTTTCCGGAATATATATTTTTATTTTATATTCAATAAACAATTAAATAAATCTTCCGGAAAATACTTTCCGGAAATTAAATATGTATTTTCCTTTCCATCACTTATCTAAATAAACATTCCGGAAAAATAGTATAAAAATATGAGAGGGTAGAGAAAACTTTCCGGAAACGTATTTTTTGTATTTTTTCGTATTTTCCGGAAAATGTATTTTGTATTTTTTCCTAGAATAATACTTTCAGGAAATTAAATATGTATTTTCCTTTCCTTCACTTCTATAAATAAACTTTCCGGAAACGTATTTTGTATTTTCTTTTATAATACAACATTCCGGAAAAATTAAATAATTTTTCATAAGATAATTCCGGAATTTCTTTGTTCGTTATCTAACTTTATATTTTCCGGAAAAAATATAAATTAAACTTTCCGGAAAGATAATAAAGAAAATAATAAGATGTTAGAGAAAACTCTCTCAATTTTCCATAGTCTTTTTCTATTATTAATAAATTTAATTAGAAACTCTATGGAAATCTGCAGAAGAGGGTTTACAAATATTTGAAGAGGAGCATGAAGAAAATAAATTAAAAAATATTCAAAAATCATTTTCCAACGAAGAAGAAAATTCAAATAAAATTAGAGGGATAAATTTGCAAATTTTTTGTTTTGGAAATGGAAAGAATTTTCAATTAGGGTCTTGTAGCTCTACTTTCTTAAATTGTGGAGATTTTAATAATTTGAAGCAAAAATTTAATTTTGAAGAATGCCCTATAGGGAAAGTTTTTATTGGGAATAAATGTAAGTTGTTAAATTTTAAAAACTCTAATTAATATACTCTCAATAAAAGCGACTTTTTTTATGACTCATTACCAGGCTAGTATCACCCCATAACTTTCGGTCAGTAACAACTTTCCGGAATTTCTTTGATAACACTAGAGGTGGGCGGGATCGGTATCCCGACGTAAAATCGAGATCGGGATTTTGGAATAATGGCGGAAATTTTGGGGATTTTGGGAGGGCGTTGGGGATTTTGGGAGGGCTTCACCTTACTGGCTACCTTCTCCCAATGTTCATTCCCTCATAGGAATAAAGTATTAAGGGTGGATAAAGGAATTTGGGTAGATAAAGAGATTAAGCCAAACTTCATCCCTTTTTAGTGACGCAGTCGAAAATTTTTAAAACTTGGAAGGCTAAGGAGCCAGAATTATCCTCTCACCCAGCAGGTATACCAAATCCCATGAGAAGTATTTGAGAAGTACTTCAATTTGGGAGTATATTTTTGTGTTCAGTTTAGAGATAACTATAAGAGGGAGGGGGTATTTCCTAATCCTGTGAGTCTATAACACAACAACTATTTATTTACACACATACAAAAATACAATTAAATACAACAATTCAAATACAATACAAACAACAAGAAATATACAATACATACAATGTGAACAATATATGGGAAAGGGGGGGGGGGGAACAATGAGAACAATATATAGGGGGACATAGCAAAGGAACAATATATAGATAATCACACATTTTTATATCTCGAGCGTCACCTTCACACAACTTCCGGGCCAAACTCCTCCTCCCTATTCAGTTTCTGGAATCGACTCATCAACGGCCCCGGGAAGATACGGCTTATCATATGGCTTCTTTCCCGCCCCATATTCAAGCGCAGTTGATGTTCCATCGATCACTTCGAACGGATAGATTTTCTTCATCTGAAAATATAAAAATGACTAGTTGACATTAAAAAAATATTTTTCTCACCCTTTTCCAATACAGGAAGTTCCCAACGGCATCATATCCCTTTTTAGCCTTTTCCGGTTCATATTCGCGGGCGTAGACCTCTTTGTCCCTGTGCTTCTCGAACTGGTCTACAAGGAACTGCATCTTGGCTTTGGCGTGATCCTTCTCCACTCTCTTCCAGATTACAGCGATCATGTCGTCGACTGAACCCATCTCAAACGCAGTTGTTTCATCACTCTCCTTTCTCTGAAAAAATGGGAAAAGAAGGCTTGATTAAATGAGGTATTTTCTCAAATTTTTAAACTCACATTCTTTTTCCACACATCAAATGTCCCGACGGCCTTTTTGCCTCTGATCTTCTGGTCAGCCTTGTACAGAGCAAGCAGACGTTTTTCTTCTGCGCGTTCGGCGTCCTTTTTTGCCTTGTCCTTCATCCAGAACCAAACCAAAACTGCAATGATGATCCCGACAATGAGGCCAATAGCAATGCCAATTGCAATGTTGAGACCTCCGCCAGATTTCTCCTGTTGTTGCGGGCACTTTGCCGTTGTTCGAGATGTCGTTGTGGTGGAAGGGGAGCTGTTGTCGGTCGTAGGCAAGGTTGTCGATGAAGAACCAGAGGGATCTGTTGTCGTTTCAGTCGGGTCTGATGTTTCCACTGGTGGATCCTCAGTGGTCGTTGAAGTGGTCGGTGGCGTTGTCGTTTGAAGAGTGACGATGAGCATCTTGTAGTAGTTTACATCCTAGGAAAAACAAAATTACTTGAAGGGTCACAAAGATTATAGGATTACAAAATGGTCTTAAAATTGCAAAACTCACAAACTGAATGAAGAGTTCACACTCCGGTCCATTTGGAGGTACTGCCAACTTGCTGTCTTTGTAGGTATACGAAGCATTCTGCCGAAGCAGGCTGAAAACGAGCAGGTGTTTGTCCTTGAACTCCCCATCATTCGTGATCTTCCATGTTTTGGGTTCGAAGAGTGGAGTTGACCTGTGAACGCAAGCAGCTTTAGTCGAAGCATCGAATCCCTCGTCCTTTGCATACTCCATCGTGAATCCGCTCGCAGTACTTATCACCAAGTCTAGAGTCATACTCTCACCCTCCGGCTTCTTGGACTGACTCAAGCCTTTGTTATTTTCACCAACTATAAAATGATTTTAAAAAATAAAAACACAAACAGGCCTCTTACTTAGATATGTGTGAGCATAGACCTCTCCATCCGATTGGCTCCATGAGACTTGAAGTGATGTATGACGCTTGCATTTTCCATCAATGTCTTTGCAAGCACCTCTTTTACACTCTGCTCCTGAATCGTTGTATTGACGGTTGTTGAGATCTTCTATGCCCTTGTTATCGACGCTGTAGACGAAAGGCAGACTAAAAAATTAGCATAAATTAATTAACGTATATTAACTATCAAATAGAACAAGGGTGTAAAAACTCACAGGTTGCTATAGCTTTGCTCTAATGAGGCACCCGCATCAAGACAATCGTTGAGTTTTCCATCTGCATTCCCTCGCACTCCTGCTTTGAACTTGATCTTGTTGTTGTTCGACGAGTCGGTGCTGAGCAAGTCCACAGTGCATCCCTTGCTGCCTTTCTTGTACCGAAGCTCGCTGAAATAAAATAAAATTTTAGTTATGATTATTCTTTAAAAAAGCATAAAAAAGTCCTCACATGTAGCCGTCTTTAATTGTAACATCACAGGCGTCCGGATACAACTCCTTGAAGTTATGACTAGCAAGGTCGATGCCCGCCCTGTCAGAAGTTACGGTGTTGGCGGTGAGCATCACATTTTCTCCATTCTTTGTGTGCTTGCCGAGTCCGACTTCTTCGCTGTTGACCTGTCCGGGAACTGCAAGTGTGGCGATGGTGAGCAGCAGCAGCAGAGAGCACAGCGATGACGACTTTCTGGTCCAGGGTCCGGTGTTGAGCTCCAATGGAAGAAGGCCGAGCATGAAGAGTTGTTTGTGTAGATGTAGATGTTTGAAGGGTTGTGATGATTGTTTTGTAGAAGTGTTGGGAAACGGACAAAATGTTGGGTGCTTTTATAGTATATCCTCAAGAAGGAAGTCGAAATTGTCAGCGAAGAAACGTAGTGAGGGGGGGGGGGATATAAGAGCAGCTTTATTGAAATGTTCAATAACTTCCTTTGCCTCTCACCACGCCAGTCATCAACAGGAGTAGACTACAATGACTCAGAATCAACAATAACTTTCTTTTCCTGCGCCGTAGGGGAAATTTTTTGAGAATTTTGGAAGGTCAAGGAGAGAGCACCGCGTTGACGATTGAGTTCTTCCATTTTTTGTGCCGAGACAAAAATTTTGAAATGGCAAGGGACTCTTACCCTTAATAATTTTTCATCCTTAACAATTTTTCCCGAATTGGATCCCGATTCAGCCCAACTCTAGATAACACCCCCACCTTTATTTTAATTAATTTTCCGGAAATGGGCGGGGCTTGGTTTTTTTTATCCCTGTTAGAGTCTTTAGATTTAATGGAAGTTCATTATTAGAGATTGTTAAAAAAATTCCATTTCTAATTCTTTTAAGGCAAACCAGCTCGTCGTGTTAAAGATTGTTTCCTCCCTCAAGTAAATTTACTCAACGATGCTACCGAAAAATTGGCACAAGTCTAATGACCTAAAATTTTTTTAATACTTAAAAATTAGGCAGTCCATTTCTGTGCTCGTCATACACCTTTTACCCCCACAATTTATTTTCTTGATGGACATTCTAACGAAGAACACTGTTCGAGACAGGCATTGATTTGTAGAGGAGCGGCTGCAAAGCCGTTGGCCATTAGCTGTCCTCCAGGCAGTTTTTTAAAAATTATTTTAGAAAAGTTTTTTGAACAGTGCCAACTACTTTTTTCCTTATTTCTATAAAATTTTCAGAAAAATTTTTCAAAATTAAAAAAAAATTTCAAAGGCAAAAACAAATCCAACAACCTACCCCACTTATTTTTATTCTCCCTACTATTTCTTTATTTTAATTTATTTTCCGGAAATGGGCGGGGCTTGGTTAGACTGCTCAATTAAATAAAATAAATACACTTTTTCCGGAAACTTCTTCCGGAAGGAAAGTATTGTTAAATTAAAATACATAAAATAGTAGCCTTATTTTGCTGGTGTAAGTCTAAATTTTTCGAAAAAAAGTTTCTTAAATTTTTTTTAAATTTTTTAAAAATTACCTCAAAAAATTAATTTTAAGGCAAAATTCTTTTAATGAAAAATATGACATGTTCAAAATCACCCCAACATTGTAACCAAGCAATTAAAGAAAATATAACACCTATACGTACACATTTATTACGACAATTATGTGAGGAAAAAGGAGGGGTTCCTCTATTTCCCCAATCCTTGATGAAAGCAAATGAGGAAAGATGTAAAAATTGGTCTGTTTAATAAATCTGTAATTTATTAAGTGGGAAATAAATTTTCGGGAAAATAGTATAGAAATATGAGAGGTTAGAGAAAACATTCCGGAAACTATATTTTGTATTTTATGCTTTCCGGAAAGAATATTTTGTATTTTCTCCTAGTATAATACTTTCCGGAAATTAAATAATTTTCCGGAAAAATAGTATAAAAATATGAGAGGTTAGAGAAAACATTCCGGAAACTATATTTTGTATTTTATGCTTTCCGGAAAGAATATTTTGTATTTTCTCCTAGTATAATACTTTCCGGAAATTAAATAATTTTCCGGAAAAATAGTATAAAAATATGAGAGGTTAGAGAAAACATTCCGGAAACTATATTTTGTATTTTATGCTTTTCGGAAAGAATATTTTGTATTTTCTCCTAGTATAATACTTTCCGGAAATTAAATAATTTTCCGGAAAAATAGTATAAAAATATGAGAGGTTAGAGAAAACATTCCGGAAACTATATTTTGTATTTTATGCTTTCCGGAAAGAATATTTTGTATTTTCTCCTAGTATAATACTTTCCGGAAATTAAATAATTTTCCGGAAAAATAGTATAAAAATATGAGAGGTTAGAGAAAACATTCCGGAAACTATATTTTGTATTTTATGCTTTCCGGAAAGAATATTTTGTATTATATACGTTCCGGAAAAATGTATTTTGTATTTTCTCCTCTTTCCGGAAATTATATTCTGTATTTTTCCCAAGAATAATACTTTCCGGAAATTAAATAATTTTCCGGAATATTATTTCCGGAATTTACTTTTTCTTTCTCTAACATTTAATGTATTTTCCGGAAAAAGTGGAAAATAAACTTTCCGGAAAAATAATATAGAAAATAAGGAGATGTTAGAGAAAACTCTCTTAACCAGTCTTTTTCTATAATCAATAATTTTAATAAAAATTTTTAAAAAATAGGTATGCTGTCTGCGAGGAATTTAAAGAGCCCGAATTTGTCTTCTGTGATGGAGGAAAGATTTTTGACCAAGAAAGGGGGTTATGTAGGCGCATACTTCCTGAAGACCAATGTCCACATCTTAGCGCTTGCAGGCAACTTAAAAATTTTTTCCTTTGTTTTTTCATCTAATCCTCATTTCCTTTAAATCTCTCCTAAAAATTAAAAAAATTTTTTTGAATCTTAAGAGGTTGGGAGTGGAGGATGAGTGCCATAGGCGACTGCCTTCCCCAATTTCTTTTCTGTAATGGAATGCGACCACAACTTTTTCAATGTCATCGTCCTGGTGATGTTTTTAAAGATGGAGAGTGCGTACCGACTGATATTGCTAAATGCAACGTTTGCCAGCCAGGGGAAATGAAACGTTCAACTGATAAATGCGAGCAAGTTAGTATACTTTGAGGGGGAAAATGAAAGAAAATTAATAATTTAACTTGAGATAAGCAAAAAAATTTGAAATTTTGCATAATGGTAGAACTAGTTGATTTATATTTATTTACAAAATTACAAAATTTTGTATCAAATATAGGCTAAGATAGAATTTTTAAAACTTTAATGCTTTTTCCGGAAAGGGGCGTGGTTTAAGGTATTTTTCCCTCTATTTTCTTCTATTAAATAGACTTTCCGGAAAATATGTATTTTTTTTGTATTTTCTCGAACAATTAAATATTTTCCGGAAAATATTTTTAATATTTTCCGGAAATGTTATCAAATAAAATTAAATAAATGTATTTTCCGGAAAATGTTTATTCTCTTCTTTTATTTATTTAAATGTATTTTCCGGAAACTCATTTTGTGTTTTGCCTTTTAAATAAAATTAATAATAAAAATTCCGGAAATTATTTCCGGAATTTCTTTTTCCTTCTAACCTTAATACTATTTTTTAGTTCTACTTCTGCGAAGGCAAGGATAATTCCCCTACAGTTTGGCGTCAATATATGTGCACATCTGGGCAAGTTTTTCACCCACAGCGACAAGAGTGTGTTTCTCCCAGCGAGTTTCAATGTCCTGTTAAAACACAGGTCGTTTTGGAATTTTTTGGAATTAAAAAAAATTTTTTAGTGTCAAGAAGGGGATTATTATTCTGTAGAGTGTGGAGATTTCTTTCTCTGTGTTCAGGGCAAATATATAATTGCTAAGTGTCCCGATTGGACTCAATGGAATGGGGAAGAAAAGCGTTGTGTTTATTCTGATATGTGTAGACGATTTAAGGCAAATTAAATTAATTTTCTGACAGCCAATGGGTCCTTTTTTAATTTTAACAGGACCAAAAACCTTCAACCGAATTTTCTGTGTGTTCTGATGGGGAGATACACCCCTCCTCAGATTGTAAAACCTTTGAGGAATGCCGATCTGGGTTTTGGAGTAAAAGGTCCTGCCATGAATATGCTAGTGATAAACTTAAAGGTGTTTCAAAAATAATAAATCTAAAACTCTCTATATAAGAGACACTCAATATAAGAGACAAAGATATATAAGAGATCCCTCTCTCTCTCACTCTCAAAATGCGAATGAGAGGCGGTTGGGGTCAGTTGAGCCCCGCCAGTTGAGCGCCAGAGAACTTTGATCGGCTATAACTTTTTAAGCCGTGATCCAATACAAATAAGTTTCATATCATTCTAAAGCCCTCATTAAGCGGTATCTTTTTTCCAACTGGGTGGATCAAGTCTGATCACCGGTTAAAAATTTATAAGTCGATAAGTGTGAAAAACAACGATTTCCTGCACTTATCGACTTGTAACTTTTTAGCCGGTGATCAGACTTGATCCATCCATTGGAAAAAAGATACCGCTTAACGAGGGCTTTCGAATGATATAATAATCATTAGGAGTGATTCAAGCACAAAAAAGTTATAGCCGATCAAAGTCGGCTGGCGCTCAACCGGCGGGGCTCAACTGGCCCGCTCCGAATGAGAGGTGTCCTACAGTAATCTTTTTGGAAACCTTCGTTATGAGAGTCTACTAGAATTTATTTTATCTAGTGACCGGTAAAATCGATTTTTCCGGAACCGGATCCGGATTCCGGATTTGCAACTTGAGCCGGACCGGATCCGGCCGGATTTTTCCGGATAAATCCGGTCCGGTTTTAATCCGGTAAAAATTATTTCCGGAGTCCGGCAGAAATTATCCGGATTCCGGACCGGATTTTGGATTTTTTTGAATTTTTATAAAAAATTTTCTATGACATTTTTAGCGTTAAAATTTTGTAAGATGTTGTCGTTTGTGTGTTAAAATGTTGTTAGGGGGATATCTAAGGATTTTGCAGGCTATGAAGGATATTTTGTGAATCTTTCGAGGTTAAAAGTTTGGAAAATAAAGTAATTCATGGTTGGAATTTTGAAATTTGCTCCTACTTTCGTACAGGCCTATCTTTACCTCGTACTCGTACCTGCCAATTTTTGAGCATTTTGGAGTCCAAGGAGCAATATTTCCTCCAAGGATTCCCTTAATCCCAAATCCCTTCCATGCGCCGCAGGCAAAAATGTTGAGAATTTTGAGGTCCTTAAGTCAAATTTCTTCCTTTTTTGCGCCGCGGGCGAAAATTTTGAAAATTTTTGAAGGCTATGAAGCCAGATTTCTTCCATTTTTTACCGCCGGAGGCGAAAATTTTGAGAATTTTGGAAGGCCTCAGGAGAAAAAATTCTATTGTTAGAGCCGCAGGCAAAATTTTTTGAAGTTTAGATTGGCCAAAGCTTAGACTCTCCATACCAACCCTATTTTCGGCCTAGTACTGAACTAAGTTGAGGTATATACAAGGGGAACTCAGTCGTTCCTTCCGGGTACGATTTTTGGAAGGCCAATAAAGAAGGATCCATCCCTTTTCAGCGCCGCAGGCGAAATTTTTTTAATTTCAGTATAGTTAGGGGTCAAAAATCCTCCTTTTTTATAAAAAATACAAGAAAAAATGGGAAAATTCCCGAACCGTATAAAATCCCAAATCCGGTGCTCAAAATTTGCCGGACCCGGATCCGGATTCCGGATTTGCAACTAGAGCCGGACCGGATCCGGCCGGATTTCTCCGGATTAATCCGGTCCGGTTTTAATCCGGAAATTTCAAAAAAATCCGGATTTGGGACCCGGACTCCGGAAAAATCCGGCCGGATCCGGTCCGGCCCCGGTCACTAATTTTATCATAATTCTGAGTAGAGTGGGAGAGGGTTAATTTTTAATTTATGAGAGGGTTAATTGAATATTTTTAAAATTAAAATAATTTTTTTTTGAAAAAAGATCCTTGCCATTTTTGCAAAGAACAACAAACCGGAATAATATCAAATAAAAAATCTGAAGATTATTATCCATTAGAGAACTTATTACCTGAAGGATTTAATCCTTTTAATGAAAAAATTGGAATAAAGCAGAGAAGGTGTATTGAAGGAGAGGTAAATTGGAGGGGAAAAATGGACATTTCGGTGACATCTTAAATTCAATAACTTTTTAAATTTTTATCAAATCAGGTCAAGTTATATGTCATTCGAAAGCTCTTTAAAAGGGGAGTATTTAATCCAAAAGGACCGTCTTTGTCCGATCATTCCTTTAAAAGTTATAAAAGAATAATTGTGAAAAATCGTGATTTTCACATATTCGACTCTCTAACTTTTGAAAAAATTGTCGGATCGTAGAGGTCTTTCTAGCTAAAATAATCTACAAATCAAGAGCTTTCTAATGGTATATAACTCGAAGAAATTGGTCGAGAAACAGAAAAGTTATGGGTTAATAAATTTGCCCAGTTTCGACACCCAAGCTGTGGCACTGAAACGTCCTAAGCTTAATTTTAAAAAATTTCAAAATTTTTCAAACAATTTTCAGAAAATAATAAATAAGCATGATTGTACACACTTTATGGAATGCATAGACGGAGATTGGTTTAACCTTGCCTGCCCTACCAATTATTATTTTAACACAAAAACATTGGGGTGTGTGTTAGCAACATCCTCAATAAATTCCTCTTTTATCCAAATCTGTCAAGAATTTGAGGATAACAAAATTAATTCAAAATTAAATGGCAACAATTTGGCATTAAATAAAAACAAAATTGAGTCATTACATTTATTGCCTGTTTATACGGCCAATAATTCAATTAATGCTAATAGGGCAACTGGAGGGTTGGGGCCTCTTCCAGAATTGAATGATAAAGTTTTGAAAGCTAATTATGTGAGGATATTTTTTTAAATATTTTTCAGAATCATGAAAATACTTCAGAATATTTTCAGAATATTTTCAGAATATTTTTCAGAATTTAAAAATTATTTATTTAATATTCTACTTAATTTATCCCTTGTCTGTAGACGTTTCGCCGCAGAATCGTTACGGCGCAAGCGCTTATAAATTAATCAAAAGGAGACTTAAATTTGTGAAATTTTCTATAGAATTGAGTAATATCGGTTTACACTTTCTCCTAAAATTTCAGAATTTTTTATTTCCTATTTCAAAAGTTATGGCTAAAATTAGGGCAAAAATCGCCTAAAGTTGGCATTTTTGTCCATAATTTCTGATTTTTAAATCCTAAAATTCTGAAATTTTCAGAATAGTTAGATAACACTATTAAGAATATCTGTGCAAAATTTCACATCTCTGAGTCGTCTTTTGGCGTTTTTATAAGCACACAACTAACGTTGCTTCCTCTCAACGCCCAAAATAACTTTACGCCCAAATAACCCTTGCTAGTTTTAAAAATTTTATTTTTAGAAATACAGTTTTATATTTTGTACGTCAAAATCGCCTCTTCGAATTCCAAATTATTATGACTGTACAAAAGTGAGGATTTTTAATTTTTAAAATTAAATATTCCCATTAAAGCTCTTGAGCTAGGAGGGTATTATACTGAAAAACAGTGTGCGTTGGGGACACAATTTGATCCATCGTTATTAATGTGCACGTATAAGTGAGAAAAATTGAAAATTTTTGTTCAATTAAAATTTTCAAATTTTTTTAAAATTTTGAAAAAATTTTCAAAATTTTTTAATTAAAAAAACCAACACAAAAAACATTCCAAAAAACAGTTATACTTGTTTACCTACAAACTGTACTTCCGGTCTACGCCAACCCTTACCCCATTGTGGAAAGGCTAAAGAATGCCGCGATGGAAATTGGCACGAATTTGAATGCCCAAACTCTATGGCTTTTGTAGACGGCAAATGTAGCGAGTTAACTAATTGCCAGAAAAGTTGGTATTTAATGAAGGCTCTATTTAATGTTCTCTACTCTACACTCATGTTCCTTTCGAATAGAAACCAAAATTTAATGTTCCTTACACACTACCTTCTTAATGTTCCTTTCGGATAGAAACCTTAATTTAATGTTCCCTACACACTACCTCTTAATGTTCCTTTCGGACGGAAAACTAGAGTCAATGTTTCCTACGCCTTACCTCTTCATGTTCCCTTCGGACGGAAAACTAAAGTCAATGTTCCTTACACACTATCTCTTAATGTTCCTTTCGGACGGAAAATTAAAGTCAATGTTCCCTACGTCCTATCTCTTAATGTTCCTTTCGAATAGAAACCAAAATTTAATGTTCCTTACACACTACCTTCTTAATGTTCCTTTCGGACGGAAAACAAAAGTCAGTGTTCCCTACGCCCTACCATTAATATTCTACTTGGACTAGAGGTTCCTTCCTATATTCCTTCCGGACGGATATTAACTAGAGTTTTCTATTACTAAGGTATCATATTATCCATAAAAAGTACCCTTTATTTAGTAGACGACTATTATCTCGTAAAAGAGACCTTTATTCTATCGAAAAAATCCTCTTAATAAATTCCAGATTTAATCACCAATAATGGTCAATGTGTAGAAGGACATACACTTGTACACCCTCGGGACTGTTCCAAATATTTACTTTGCCGTTACGGCCAATATGTTGAGGAAAGCTGTCATTTGGGACATCGGTTTAATCCAAAGGCAATTTTTTCGATTATTCGTTTTTGGCAAAATTTGGAGGTATTTTTGGCATTATGTCAAAATACCGTATTTTCCCAAATTTTTTAATTTTCTTGGCATTATGTTTATTAAATTAAAAAATTATTTTTCTTAACAGTTAAGTCAATGTGACCCAAAATATGTTTGTTTGTCAACACATATACCCCCTTGTTTCGAAGGAGAATTACGCCCAGTAATTTCTCCAAAAACAACAGAATGCCAATCAGAATATGAAATCTGTAGGGATGGAAAATTTTATAAACAAATTTGTCCTTATGGGGAAAGATTTTATTTGGGGAAATGTGAAGCTTTTGATAAATGTGGAAATAAAAATGGAATAAATAAAAATAATATTGGAGAGGATAGTGAAGGAATTTATGAGAAATGTCAGGCAAGTTTTTAATGATGTTATTTACTAAAAACTTTAAAATTTATAAATAGATAGAATGCCAAAGTAGGCAGATCCAAAGAGATTAGGGGGGTTGTTCTCCGATTGAGGGAGGGGGGGGGGAGTTTATGGGGAAAACTCTTTCGAGGGAAGTTCGGGAAAATTTTGCTACAAGAGAGTGAGAGGAGGAGAAGTAGGGTATAACCATAATAGGGATATCAAATAGAAGATAGCAATTAAAAGGGTACACTGATTTGGCAGGAAAATTCCCCAAAAAGTCATTCTTATTCCGCAAATAAGTCCAAAACCCCTCATGGTTTGCTAACGTGAGGAGTTTTGGCCTCACTGGGAAAAATATGGGAAGAAGCTTCGAATATTGTAATGAACATTAAAAATTTTTAAGGAATCACAAGGCCCCTCAGGTTTTCGTTCAGACCGTCAAAATTGTTCCAAATTTTACCAATGTGCTGGAGAAAAATGGGTTGAAAAAGATTGTGGTAAAGGAACGGTGTTTAACCCTGCAATAAGTGTTTGTGATTGGCCTACAAATGTCCCTTCTTGTTAAATATAAATATTTTTTTGATAATTAATATTTTAAAGAAAAATATTTTTTTTTGAAATTATTTGTATTATTTAAAAATTTTAATAAAAAATATACTTAAGCTCAACACTAAGTAAGCAATTGAAATAATTTGTAAAAACAAAGTTGGAATTGTAAAAACTTAAGTTTAAGATCGTAAACTTGAAATTGTAAAACTTTAATTTTTTAAACTTTTTTAAAGTTGTAAACTTAAAAGTTTAAGTTTAGCGTTATAAAAACTTAAGTTTATAAACTTGAAAAACACGTAAGCTTAAAGTTGTAAAACTTGAGATTATAAACCTAAATTGTAAAACTTAAGGTTGTAAACTTAAAAGTTTTAACTAAAGCGTATTCCAACAGTTGTTTTTAATATTTTGTTGATCTTTTGGATTTAATTTTTCCCCCAGATATGCTATGAATCACATGTTGTTTTAAAATCGTTAAAAAGCTGTAGACACCAATTTTTTATTTTTTAATAGAAAATACACTTTATTTCCTGCCCCCGTTTTTATTTTTTTATTACAATGAGCACCTCAGTCAATAATTGTTTGAAAGGTTAAATTTCTGTTTTTCTTCCGCTCATTGATTTTTTAAATTTAAAAATCAGTAAAATTAACAAAAATGTTTAATTCAATAATTATCAGTCTATCCCCTTTTTTCCTCCTATTTTTAATTTTACAAAACTCTGATTCAGCAAAACAATGTTATTCTGGCCAGAACAAACGTTATGTTCAAAAACAATGTTCTAGTGGAAGTTTGGGTAAATTTAATAAATTATTGGAGTAGAATTTATTTTTAAGATATTGACTATGTCTGCCATAAATATTCTTGCGAGGAAGGAAGATGTAAGTTTACAAACTTGAAAATACTTACATATAAATAAACAAACTTGTAAAAAACAAACTTGAATTACAATCACAAAATAATAAAACTTGAAAAAATGTTGAATTTAAAAATAAAATTGTAATCCAAGTTTACAAACTTGAAAATATTTATAAATAAATAAACTTGGAAAATTAAACTTGGAAAAAATAAACCTAAATTACAATTAATCAAACTTGAATTACAATCACAAAATAATAAAACTTGAAAAAAGTTTGAATATAAAAATAAACTTGAAATATAAGTTTACAAACTTGAAAACATATTAAAATACCTAATTTACTTAAATAAACTTGAATTACAACTACAAAAATAATTAAACTTGAAAATTTAAAATAAACTTGAAATCTAAGTTTACAAACTTAAAAAATACTTAAAATAAACTTGGGAAAAATAAACCTAAATTACAATTAATAAAACTTGAATTACAATCAGAAAATAATAAAACTTGAAAAAAGTTTGAATATAAAAATAAACTTGAAATCTAAGTTTACAAACTTGAAAATAAATTAGAACCGTATTTATTTAAATAAACTTGAATTACAATTATGAAAATTAAATAAACTTAGAAAAAGTTGAATTTATTAATAAACTTGAAATTTAAAGTTTACAAACTTGAATAAGAAATAATTAACTTAAATAAACTTGAATTACACTTATTTAAAATAATAAAACTTGAAAAAGGTTGAATATAAAAATAAACTTGATTTAATTTAAAACTACAATTGTAAACTTTATTTTGTAAACTTAAGTTTATCTTAAATAATGTTTAATTAAGCTCCCTTTGTTCTACGTACATGCGCACCTAAATCTGCAGTTCAATGCAATGCTGGTTCAAGGATTTGTCTATTTTCAAGTAAGATTATTAAAAATAAAACAAAAATAATTTTTAAAATTTATCTAGAAGGGAAAGGAAAATGTCATGTGTGTGATAAAGATTTTTGTAATGATTAAAATTAATTAAAATAATAAAATATTTGGTAATCTTGAATTTTTAATTAAATAAAAATTGAATTTTTTAAATAAAAATTATTGTATAAATATTTTTTAATTTTCAAAATTTTCCAAAAAATTCTTTCTTTTCTCCCCTTTTACATGCAATAGTAGCAATAAGGTTGCATCATCCCTGGATATTGATACCCCGTAGTATTCACAGTATTGCTATTGCCATTTAACAAAACTCCAGCAAGAAGTGCTAATCCGCCTGCCGCCCCTATTTTTGTTTTGCTCCATTTTCCCTCTTTAGTTTTAAATAACTTTTTAGTTTTGTGCCAAAAGCCTTTTCCTTGGCTTGTATCGCTTCGAACAACTTGTAAAAATTAAAAGACTTTAATTGTAATTGTAAACTTAAGTTTTATATACAATATATAATTCAAGTCTATAAACTTGAATTATTCAAGTTTGTAATTAATTTCAAGTTTTATTTACAATATGTAATTTAATTAAAGTTTATTTATTTATAGGTTTTATTCATTAGAATTGTAAACTTGAAAACTTGAAAATAAAACTTGAAATTAATTTACAAACTTGAATTTTTAATTTTACAATTACTTTCAAGTTTTATTTACAATTTGTAATTCAAGTTTTACTTTCAGGTTTTAAGTTTACAATTCTAATGAATAAAACTTGTAAATAAATAAACTTGATTAAATTACAAATTGTAAATAAAACTTGAAAATAAACTTTAAATTAATTTACAAACTTGAATAATGCAAGTTTATAAACTTGAATTATATTAAGTTTAATTTAATGCTTAAACTTAAGTTTATAATTAAATATAACCTCTGCGATGTAATTCACCTACAATCTCAGCACTAGTCTCCGAATAAAATTCAAAAAGTATAATCAAAATAATGTTGAGGTAGATTATTGTCTTATAGAGCATTTTTTATTTTTTAATTAAGAAATCTTTGAATAAAAAATAAATAAATAAAAAAAAGTAAGGGAAAAAGCTTTATCGCCATTCATGCACTTTAATATTTCACAATAACAACACGTCTATTTAAAGTGCAAATCTCTTTAATGTCTGACAATGCCGAAGATTTCATATTCTGGCAAGTCGTAAGATTAAGGGCGCGTGATTAAGGGCATTTCCTGCTTTTCCTGATTAAGGGCAGGGAAGCAGGGAATATTGAGAAATCAACAGCAACAATTTAAAAATAAACTTGAAAAAAATATTCAAGTTTTATTTACAATTTGTAATTACAATTTGTAATTCAAGTTGCATTTTTAATTAGACTATGGTTAAATTAATTCACACCTAATTACAATTGTAAAATTACAATTTCCAGCGGAAATTGTAATTTTAATTAGAGTTGCACGAGATCGAGATTTTAGAAAAAATCCGAGACCGAGATTGACCGAGACCCGCATGACCGAGACCGAGACCGAGATGCAAAATTTGACCCGAGACCGATATCGAGATCCGAGATAAACCGAGATTTTTCAAAACTTTTCTTATCCACCAAAACCCATTTTAAATTAATTAAATATCATCTAAATCATCATCAAAATCATCTGTTTCATCATTATCAATTTCAGTTGGTGGACCAAGCAACGGTTTATCCATATTTGCCTTTACAATAGATTTTTTTCCACCATTTCTCCAGAAAGTTAAGTATAAAGGGACACTTGTGTACGGGAGACTTGTTTATTAGAAGTGTCTGATAGAGACAGTCGGTTTATTTTTCAACCTTTCTCTACGGGGTCGGTTTATTAGAAGGGGCCGGTCTATTAGAGACAGTCGCACTATTAGAAGAAATAAGGTTTATATATGTCACCGTCCAAATTACATTCTTGTCCAAATTGAATTTGGCCTTCCAATTGGGGACTGAAGCCCTAAATTTTGGATTTTTCTTCGTGTTCAAGGTTGGGGTTGGGTTCTTTAACATTTATTCATGTTCGGGACCTACGTCCACTTGATCTGGGACAATTCCTTACCCTATTCCTCAAAATTTTTGAAAGTTTTAGCCAACTTTTAAAAATTTCAGAAAAACGATTATAACCTTAAGAAATTTCGAAGAATAGGGTAAGGAATGGTCCTAGGTAAGGAATGGTCGCGGCGACCGTAGCCGTCGTTCCGATTGACATACCCGACTTCCTCCGCAGCGGCAAAAACTTTTTTCCGCGAAGGTTGATGTGTATTCGGCCGCGCCTATTGTTCTGCTCCGCTCTCTAGTCAACTAAATTAAAATGAGCACAACAATATAATAAGAGCGAAATTTTAAATATTTTGTCAAAATAAATCTCAAGAAGGTCAATCTTTAGGGGGTGTATACTGATCTCGGATCTCGGCGAGATTAAGTGCCGAGAATCTCGTCTCGGTTAGGTGATCTCGTCTCGGCAAAACCGAGACCGAGATTGGAAAATGACCGAGATTCTCGTCTCGGTCGAGATATCGATCTCGTGCAACTCTAATTTTAATTTAAATCAAATATGTCAAATAAAGATTTATACACCTTTTAAAGATCGTTTGGGGGAAATTTAAATAAATTTAAAAATACATTTTAAAAATAGGAATTAAAAAAAATATATCGAAGCTTCTTTTAGTCTTATAAATTTTCTTTTTTCGTTTTATACATCTTCCGCTCTTCCTTTCACTTTAGTAAGAAGGTATCATCGGGGGCATAAATTGTTGCGGCATAATTGCAGGTAGCGCTTAATTAAAAATTTATTTTTCAGATGATCTCCCTCAAAACTAACGATAATTAGGAACAAATCCACCACCATTATATTGTTGAAATTGTTGAACAGCTTCTTGCTGGTTCTTTTCTATAACTCTACCACCCACCGTCCCAACAAGCGTTCCAGCGGCTACACCTGCCAATGCTACTCCTATAGCCGTTGTTCCACTAATACTCTTGTTATCTAAACTTTTCTTCGCATTTTTAAGTGTTCCAACAATCCCGCCACTTCCATTTTTCTTGAAGGATTTCTTTTTACCTCCAAGCTTATTCTCCTGCTTGGATAAAGACTTTCCGTTTCCACCATTGGCCCGTTTCTCTCGAAACAATGTTCCTTTAAATTAAGTTGGCTTAAAATTGTAAATTGTAAACTTGATCAAATATTAAATATTAATTTGTAAAAATTTACAATTTTGACTAACCTTGTCAAAACTTGTTTTACAATTTAAAATCAAGTTTACAATTAAAGTTGATTTTAAAATATAAACATTTTACAATTGTAATTTAATTTTAATCAAAATTTAAATAAACCTACCCGTTGGAAATCCTTCAGAATAATTTACAATCTCACAAATTATAAATAGAGCTAGAAGGCAGACAAAAACGGGAGCATATTTAAAAGCAAAAACCTTCATTTTAGACAAACAAAAATTTTTTTAAAGGGAATTATGGAGGGATGGAAAAATGCCAATAAAGGGAATAATGAGAAGGGAGGGAGGGAGGTAAGGAGGGAAGGAGAAGGGATGGAGAGGGAGGGAGAGAGGGAAGGAGGGAGGGAGTGAGGGAGGGAGGGAAAGTAGAAGGGAGGGAGGGAAGATTTTTAAATTTAAAAGTCTTTCTTTCCTTGCCCTTAACTCTCCTTTAACTCTTCTCATTGCGCGGGCGAGGTCTCGTGGATTCTAAAGGCATTGTCAATTGATTTAAAGACGTATGACAAGACATGTGAAAAGGTATGCGAGTCTATCACATGGATAAACATATGATTAAACATCTGACTGGTTGAGAAAGAATTTTTGTTTAAAAAACTTCTTGGCGCTAAAAAGATGGAGAGAGATAATCTGTTTTAAAAATTCGCAACATTTCGAAAACTGAAGTTAAAATTATTATTTTTTAATATTTTATAGCCCAGGTAATTAACAATAAAATCAAAGATTTCCCAAAATAAACTTATTTTACAACCTTTTTACAACTTATTACAAATTGTAGAATTAATACAACTTTTTTTACAAAACATTTATCCAACTTATTACAATTTGTAATTAACAAAAACTTTTTTTACAAAACTTTTCCAAAAATGTTTATTTACTGAATATTTTTACAGCAATTAATTAAATAAATAAATCTTTTAAAAATAAACCGGTCTATCTATGCCGCAGTTTTTTAGCCTTTTTAATATTTTTTATTTAGAAGGGAAGGAACACTAAATTTTCTTGGTAATATAACCGAAAAGTGGTTATTGAAGCGGAACAGAACGGAAAAATTGAAAAGCAAATTTTTGGGGGGAGAAGGAGCAAGGACATTTAAAGGGGTTAGTAGAGTATGGAGATTTTAAAAATATCGTGTTCTCGAATTAACATTTAAAAATGTTTTGGTGTAAGTGATAGAGGATTAAATTAGCTATAAGAATAAATTAAAATAAATTTTTTAAAAATTAATAAAAGAGATATTGGTCAGAAAATAAACACATGTATGAGAACAGGCGTTGCCTTAAGCTATATAACTTTTGACTGAAAAAATATTTTTCCATAATTTTGGTGTCATTCGATAGATAATTAAACTGGCTACAGAATGATACCAAAAATAAAATTTTCGGTCAAATCCCAACAAAGTTATGGCCAAAAAACTATCAAAAAAAATTTCCAGACTCTAATGTCCACTTTCTAGAACTTTTTTAATTTTAAAATTTTTTTTCAATTTTCTCCTCTTTGGCCTTTTACCTATATCGTCATCCTTCTTCATTACGTAAAGAACAGTTTGAACAAAAATTTGGTAAATTAAAAAAGTTTAAGGCGGAGTGTAAAAAAATAAAAAAAGGTTGTCAACAAATTCCATTAAAAAAACTTTTAGTATAAAAAGGCGGAATAAATAGATTATTTTTGCAAATGTGTGATAATCACAAAACACACCTTTTACAATTCTCAAAAATTCTCAAAAATTAATTAAACTTGAAGGGTAAAACTTGACTGGTAAAACTTTTTTGTGGGGGGAAGTTTAATTAATTTCTCCTACCCAAAAGATCGACACCCTTAAAATCACTCTTAGGGGTGTTCAAAAAATAAAAAAAAAAAATTCAAAAAAAATTCAAAAAATTTTTTCTATTTTTTAATCCAAAAATTAAATTTTCCGCCTAAAAATAAATTCAAAACACAAAAAAATTTTTTTTCCAAAAATCAAATTAACTGTAAAAAATTATTTTTACAGTATACCCAGCTCATCTCTCATTACTCTTCCTCGTCCTTTCACCTCCTAAGAAGTCTCCCAGAGATTTTATTATTTTTTAAATTAAAATTTTTTTATTTTTTCCTATTAATTCCTTGTCTTGTCCAACTAAAAATTTTTTCAAAAAAATTTCCAAAAATTTTCAAAAAAATTTTCAATTTTCAGAGCAATGCAAGAGACAAAAGTAGTCATCGGCATCGCCTGCTTTTCCTCTCTTTTGGCAATTATGGCCACTTTAGTGGTCATGCCACAACTTTATTCCCAAATTAACGACTTGAATTTACGTGTACGAGATGGTGTTCAAGCCTTTCGGGTTAATACAGACTCTGCCTGGAATGATTTGATGGAATTACAAGTTGCCGTTACTCCCCAATCGAAGCCTCGTTCTAACCCCTTCCAATCTCTCTACAGGCAGAAACGATCCTTGCCGGATTATTGTATCTGCCAACCCTTGGAGATTAATTGTATGTTGGATTTTTATAGAATAACAGTCAATTTGCCATTAGTTGCCATTAAGGACATTTGGTCCCAGGCAATTTCGTCATTTTTGGCGTTTTAGACATTTGATCCAAAATATTTTTATTAATTATTTTTTACATCTTTAGAAGACTACCAACCTTCATACCAGCCTTTTAGAGGGCTTTTAAGTAAACTTTTAGGCCATCTAAGCTTCAATTTCATGCCTAAACAGCCCTCAAACTAGCCATTTCCGCCTATTTTTGCCATTAAATTCATTTAATTTCATTTTTCAGGCGCACCTGGTCCCCCAGGACCCCCTGGCCCACCCGGCCAGCCCGGTCATCCAGGACAACCAGGACATGTCGGACAGCCAGGATCTCCAGGACAGCCTGCCCCTCCATGCCCACTTCCCCAACAAGCCTGCCAACGATGCCCTGCCGGAGCCCCTGGAACTCCAGGAAAGCAAGGACCAGCTGGTCAACCCGGACAACCTGGAAGGCCCGGAGCACCAGGAAAGAGTAAGTTGACAAAAAAATTTAAACTTAAAAATTTTTGAATACTAATTAGTTAAATATACAGCTTGAACCCACATTTTTCTCTCTTAAAAATTCAAAAAATTCCAAATAATATTGTGTTATAGCTTATTTGAAAGAGCTCATCGAGCTGAATCGAATGATATAAAATTTTACAGGATTGAACAATTTTGAAAAAAAATACAAGCAAAAATATTGTCAAAAAATCAATTAGAGTAGCATAGGACTTAGGAAGCTACCTCACATTCTCTCTTCCAACTCTCTTCAACCCCTCAGAAATTTACTGATTTTGGTAGCATTCGATTCAGCTCGAAGAGCTCTCTCAAACAAGCTATTATTTTCACAATTTAAAATTTTTACGAATTTTTAAAAAATCACAACAAAGCTAACTAATTTATTTCTTCACAGGCAGCGGTGCTGGACCTCCCGGCCCAGCCGGTCCACAAGGACCCCCCGGACCAGCAGGAAAGCACGGAGGACCTGGACAACCCGGACAACCAGGAAAGAACGGAGTCAGCCAGTAAGTTTAATTTTTTTTTCATAAGATTTAAAATTCAATCCTCAATTTTAGCCCAACCATCCCCGGACCGAAAGGACCATCAGGCTCCCCTGGCCAACCTGGCAAGCCTGGACCAGCCGGAGTGGTAGGACACAGAGCCATTTGAGTCTGAATTAATTTTAAAAATTTCAGCCTGGAAAGCCCGGCCCAGAAGGCCCTCCAGGACCAGTCGGCCCTGCCGGCCCCTCAGGCAAACCTGGAGCTCCAGGACAACCAGGTCCTCACGGACCCCCTGGCCAACCAGGACAAGATGCTCAGGTAGATATACCCTAATAAACCTTTCAAAATTTAAATAATTAAAGTATTGTCCCTGCCCACCACGCTCATCTGTGCTCAAGGCAAAGAAACGCGCTTAGAAAGCAAATGAAGAGGAAAGAAGCAATGATATAATTATTTGAAAAAAAAGAATTTTGAGAGTATTTTAGAAATTTTAGTAAAAAATTATAGAGAAAATAATAAAACTGCCAAATTTTTATTTTTAAAAATTAATTAAAAATTAAATTTTGGAAAGGAAAGAGGAGAATTGCTTGGGTGAAGAGAAAAATCAACCAGAAAAAAAATTCTGAAAAAATCAGAAAAAAATTCTGAAAATCAAAAAATTTTCAGAATAATTTTTTTGAATACACCTCGAAAATTAATTTTAATAATGTTTACCCCAAAATTTAAATTTATTTTTACCACAAAAATAGGCTAATCCTTAAAATGACATTTCATCCCAATTTAAAATTTTCAACAAAAAAAAAATAAATTTTATTCAAATCAAAAAAATAAATTATTTATTAAATCCTTCTCCAAAATATTAAAAAAATAAAATTAAAATTATTTTTGATTATTTTCTTGTCGAAAAATGAGAAATAAAATTAAATTTCCCTAGGCCCCATTAAATAACAGACTAATCCCGGGACACAAATTAGAGCCCAAAATTTTTTTAGAATAAATCAGAATGCCAAACAAACTCCAAATTCGTAATCAGCATCCTCAAAACCCCACAAAAACTATTTTCCCCCAATTTTCCTCTCATTTTTCTACAGTAACCCAAAAATGACATTTGATCCCAATTTTAAAAAATTTTCAAAAAATCACCGACAAATCAACTTTCCACCCAAATAAAATATTTCCTCAACATTTTTCCTTTTCCATCGCTTCTCTAAAATCCAAAAAGCTCCATAAGCAGCTAACATAACCCCCAAAACCGTCAATATTCCAACAATTAAATGGTCTGTTCCAACACAATAATTTTCCTTTACTACATTTTTTTCTTCAAAATTTTTTATTAAATTGTTGGTCTTTTCTTCCTTTAATTTACTAATACGGGCATAATCTTCATTATCTAATACAAGCATTTGGGGGGATGCCACATCTACTTCTATTTTGTGGTTTTGGAGAGAGGAGGTAGAAGGTGATAATTGTAGTGATGTTAGGGCTGAATTTTTTCTATTAAAAAAATTTGGACAAAATGCCAAGTTTAAAAATGGTCAAGACAAAATGGTCAATTTGATATTTTTCATTCTGGACAAAACGCCAAGATTAAAAATGGTCAAAGTTCAAAATGGTCATTTTAAGGTCAGTGACCGAAATGGTCAGCTTTTCAACCCCATACAATTTGACCATTTTTATTTTTACCATTATGAAAGAATTTTTTAATTGACCATTTTGCAACCAGAATTAAATTACTCACCTCTTCTTCCCCTTCCTTTAACCAACAAACTCCAATCATTATTAGCCTCAATTTCTTCCTCTCCCCCATTTTCCTGTTCTTCTTCCTCAGCAATTTTTTCTCTTCTTTTTTCCATTTTTTGTTCAATTTTATTTAAATTCTTATTTTCTTCATTAATTGCATTTTTAACTGTGACATTTTGTCCCAATTCCTTTTTGTCCTTATTTTCATCTAAAAGTCCTTTCTTCTCTTTATTTTTGTCTTCTAATCCTTTTTCTTGTCTTGCTTCTCTATTTGCTTCTTTTTTGGAGTCTTCCTTCTTCTCTTCTTTATTCTTCGTCCCTTCTTCACTTTTTTCTTTATCTTCCCCTCCTCCTCTCTTCTTCTTCCCTTCTCCATTCTCTTCCCTTTTCTCTTCCTTCATCTTCCCCTCTTCATCCTTTTCCTTCCTCTTTTTCTCTTCATCTTCCCTCTTCTCCTCCTTCATCTTCTTCCCTTCATCATCCTCTTCCTTTTCTTCCTTCCCTCCTTCCTTCTTCTTCCCATCCTCATCTTCACTCATTTCTTCCTTCTTCTTCCCCTCCTCTTTCCCCCTCATCTTCTGCTTCAATATTCCTTTAACTAACTTTCCCTTCTCCGTCCCTCCATCTTCCAACACTACCCCACTATCCAAGCTCCAATCAGCCTCACTTTCTTTAACCAATACTTTTTCTATTTGGGCACTTTCTGGGATGTCAACAAATTCATTTTCCTCATTTCTATATTTATTTTCATCTTTATTGTGTTGTTTTATTAATTTGGATTTTTTCGTTTCTTTTTGTTGTCCAGAACATTTTGGGGGTGTTATTCCTTGACACATATCCATTTGTCTTTGACACATTCTAAAAAATAAATAGTTGTAAAATGGTCAAATTTATATCTTCTCAAATGGGTCAGTAATAAAATGGTCAATTGTTGGCATTTTGGATATCTGACCATTTTGAACATTGACCATTCTGAACTTTAACCATTTTTACTTATGGCCTTTTTTAACTTTGACCATTTTTGTTTCTGACCATTTTGAAACTTGCCTAATTTGGCAGGTAAAAAAGAGTTGATTGGAGTCAGCATATTTAAAAACATGACTCTTAGCATATGCCCTCATCCTCCCATCTTCAGCATAAATTATCTCATCTATCAACCCAAGGTCTAGAGAACATCCATTCTCGTCCACAACTGCGTGGTCGTCTCCATCCCCATCCGTTACAAAACACTAAATTTGTGTTTTCTGTATTTTCTTGTATTTCCCCCACCTTTTTAATAAGCATTCCCATTTCCGGACCTCTACACTCCCACACATGAAATACAGTATCCCCAACATTAGCCCAACTCAACTGGGGACCGTCCCAGCCTGTTGAGTGAACAGAATACCGACAACTTGGTAGAGACATTTGATCGCTCAATTCTTGTGGAGGTAAATGACTGAAAATTATAAAAGTGAAACACAAAAATGTGTTTTCTTGTATTTTCTTGTATTTTTGTGTTTTCGTGTATTTTTGTGTTTTTCTGTATTTTTGTGTTTTCTTGTGTTTTTCTGTATTTTTGTGTTTTCTTGTGTTTTTCTGTATTTTTGTGTTTTCTTGTGTTTTTCTGTATTTTTGTGTTTTCTTGTGTTTTTCTGTATTTTTGTGTTTTCTTGTGTTTTTCTGTATTTTTGTGTTTTCTTGTGTTTTTCTGTATTTTTGTGTTTTCTTGTGTTTTTCTGTATTTTTGTGTTTTCTTGTGTTTTTCTGTATTTCTGTGTTTTCTTCGTATTTTTCTGTATTTTTTTTGTATTTTCTTGTGTTTTCCGGTGTTTGTGTATTTTTGTGTTTTTCTCGTATTTTGTATTTTCCCTGTATTTTCCCTCCCCTATTTTTTACCTGACTTCAAAACTGCTAGTAACAATCTCTTCAGGCTCTGTATAAAAACAACTTAAATGAAATGCTTTATCATTTTTTGTAATAAATCCAGCCGGGTGAAAAGAAACAACTAAAGTAACGGCAAAATTTATTCCTCTTGGACTTGCCTTTAAATTAAAATTTTTAAAAATTAATTTTTAATTTTAATTAAACTACCGATCTCAATCTTTGCATTCCACACTTTCCAAGACTTAGGGTATATGCGCTAGTACCGTTTTTTAAGTTTGGGGAATCTCCAAAAGATTGGCGACAGGAGGTGTCTTTGGCGCGTCCTTTGACAAAGATATTGCCTGAAAATTTGTGTTTTTTTGTATTTTTGTGTATTTTTCTGTATTTTTGTATTTTTTTGTGTTTTTTCTGTGTTTTTCGTATTTTTGTGTTTTTTTGTATTTTTATGTATTTTTGTATTTTCTTGTGTATTTTTGTATTTTTCTGTGTTTTTTGAAAAATACAAAATACAAACACAGAAAAATACAAAAATACACAAGAAAATACAAAAATACATAAAAATACAAAAAAACACAAAAATACGAAAAACACAGAAAAAACACAAAAAAATACAAAAATACAGAAAAATACACAAAAATACAAAAAAACACAAATTTTCAGGCAATATCTTTGTCAAAGGACGCGCCAAAGACACCTCCTGTCGCCAATCTTTTGGAGATTCCCCAAACTTAAAAAACGGTACTAGCGCATATACCCTAAGTCTTGGAAAGTGTGGAATGCAAAGATTGAGATCGGTAGTTTAATTAAAATTAAAAATTAATTTTTAAAAATTTTAATTTAAAGGCAAGTCCAAGAGGAATAAATTTTGCCGTTACTTTAGTTGTTTCTTTTCACCCGGCTGGATTTATTACAAAAAATGATAAAGCATTTCATTTAAGTTGTTTTTATACAGAGCCTGAAGAGATTGTTACTAGCAGTTTTGAAGTCAGGTAAAAAATAGGGGAGGGAAAATACAGGGAAAATACAAAATACGAGAAAAACACAAAAATACACAAACACCGGAAAACACAAGAAAATACAAAAAAAATACAGAAAAATACGAAGAAAACACAGAAATACAGAAAAACACAAGAAAACACAAAAATACAGAAAAACACAAGAAAACACAAAAATACAGAAAAACACAAGAAAACACAAAAATACAGAAAAACACAAGAAAACACAAAAATACAGAAAAACACAAGAAAACACAAAAATACAGAAAAACACAAGAAAACACAAAAATACAGAAAAACACAAGAAAACACAAAAATACAGAAAAACACAAGAAAACACAAAAATACAGAAAAACACAAAAATACACGAAAACACAAAAATACAAGAAAATACAAGAAAACACATTTTTGTGTTTCACTTTTATAATTTTCAGTCATTTACCTCCACAAGAATTGAGCGATCAAATGTCTCTACCAAGTTGTCGGTATTCTGTTCACTCAACAGGCTGGGACGGTCCCCAGTTGAGTTGGGCTAATGTTGGGGATACTGTATTTCATGTGTGGGAGTGTAGAGGTCCGGAAATGGGAATGCTTATTAAAAAGGTGGGGGAAATACAAGAAAATACAGAAAACACAAATTTAGTGTTTTGTAACGGATGGGGATGGAGACGACCACGCAGTTGTGGACGAGAATGGATGTTCTCTAGACCTTGGGTTGATAGATGAGATAATTTATGCTGAAGATGGGAGGATGAGGGCATATGCTAAGAGTCATGTTTTTAAATATGCTGACTCCAATCAACTCTTTTTTACCTGCCAAATTAGGCAAGTTTCAAAATGGTCAGAAACAAAAATGGTCAAAGTTAAAAAAGGCCATAAGTAAAAATGGTTAAAGTTCAGAATGGTCAATGTTCAAAATGGTCAGATATCCAAAATGCCAACAATTGACCATTTTATTACTGACCCATTTGAGAAGATATAAATTTGACCATTTTACAACTATTTATTTTTTAGAATGTGTCAAAGACAAATGGATATGTGTCAAGGAATAACACCCCCAAAATGTTCTGGACAACAAAAAGAAACGAAAAAATCCAAATTAATAAAACAACACAATAAAGATGAAAATAAATATAGAAATGAGGAAAATGAATTTGTTGACATCCCAGAAAGTGCCCAAATAGAAAAAGTATTGGTTAAAGAAAGTGAGGCTGATTGGAGCTTGGATAGTGGGGTAGTGTTGGAAGATGGAGGGACGGAGAAGGGAAAGTTAGTTAAAGGAATATTGAAGCAGAAGATGAGGGGGAAAGAGGAGGGGAAGAAGAAGGAAGAAATGAGTGAAGATGAGGATGGGAAGAAGAAGGAAGGAGGGAAGGAAGAAAAGGAAGAGGATGATGAAGGGAAGAAGATGAAGGACTTTTTTTTCTTTAACCAATACTTTTTCTATTTGGGCACTTTCTGGGATGTCAACAAATTCATTTTCCTCATTTCTATATTTATTTTCATCTTTATTGTGTTGTTTTATTAATTTGGATTTTTTCGTTTCTTTTTGTTGTCCAGAACATTTTGGGGGTGTTATTCCTTGACACATATCCATTTGTCTTTGACACATTCTAAAAAATAAATAGTTGTAAAATGGTCAAATTTATATCTTCTCAAATGGGTCAGTAATAAAATGGTCAATTGTTGGCATTTTGGATATCTGACCATTTTGAACATTGACCATTCTGAACTTTAACCATTTTTACTTATGGCCTTTTTTAACTTTGACCATTTTTGTTTCTGACCATTTTGAAACTTGCCTAATTTGGCAGGTAAAAAAGAGTTGATTGGAGTCAGCATATTTAAAAACATGACTCTTAGCATATGCCCTCATCCTCCCATCTTCAGCATAAATTATCTCATCTATCAACCCAAGGTCTAGAGAACATCCATTCTCGTCCACAACTGCGTGGTCGTCTCCATCCCCATCCGTTACAAAACACTAAATTTGTGTTTTCTGTATTTTCTTGTATTTCCCCCACCTTTTTAATAAGCATTCCCATTTCCGGACCTCTACACTCCCACACATGAAATACAGTATCCCCAACATTAGCCCAACTCAACTGGGGACCGTCCCAGCCTGTTGAGTGAACAGAATACCGACAACTTGGTAGAGACATTTGATCGCTCAATTCTTGTGGAGGTAAATGACTGAAAATTATAAAAGTGAAACACAAAAATGTGTTTTCTTGTATTTTCTTGTATTTTTGTGTTTTCGTGTATTTTTGTGTTTTTCTGTATTTTTGTGTTTTCTTGTGTTTTTCTGTATTTTTGTGTTTTCTTGTGTTTTTCTGTATTTTTGTGTTTTCTTGTGTTTTTCTGTATTTTTGTGTTTTCTTGTGTTTTTCTGTATTTTTGTGTTTTCTTGTGTTTTTCTGTATTTTTGTGTTTTCTTGTGTTTTTCTGTATTTTTGTGTTTTCTTGTGTTTTTCTGTATTTTTGTGTTTTCTTGTGTTTTTCTGTATTTCTGTGTTTTCTTCGTATTTTTCTGTATTTTT